CTCCTCGTCCTCCTCCCCCTCGTCCTCCTCCCCCTCCTCCTCCTCCACGTCCTTCTTCTCCTCCATCAGTTCCGCCACAAAATCCACGACGATTGCGACGACGACTACCACTTCCCTCACTTCCACCACCGTTGAAAACACTCCGGTCGCCCCGTCATGTACCGTCCCTACCACCAATGGTAATGTGGACTCGATCCAAACCTGTCCCCATCTCGATTGCACCTTCACATCACGCATCAGCTTCATCGTTCGCTTGCGAATTCATCGCACTGAGATTGAAACAGCAGTGCCAGTGGCCTCGACATACGCTCGTCACATCCGTCCCCGCTATCCGCGCTGTCCACGCACATTTACTAACCGCATAGGGCTATTCTGTCACATGCTTATTCACGACGGCGAAATTAACGGCAACGATGACACACCAATTCAACCCTGACATGTGTAACAATCTCATCTCCAGAACTACTAACCTCTTCTCCATCAGCACGGTCACTACTAGTAGCATCAACACTGCAACCGACTCAGCTGTTTCCAACCTATGCTGCCCGTATTGTCATCGCACATTCACTTCACACATCGGCCTAGTCAGTCACTTGCGAATCTATCGCACAAAGACTGGCAAACCAGTGTCAGGAACACCAACACACACCCGTCACCAGCGCCTCAACTGCCTGCAATGCTCGCGCATATTCAGTCGCCGCATGGGCCTGCTCGGTGATATGTACACCCGTGTCAACTTGCGGTAAACCACCGCGCATCCCCACCAACATATACGCCACGCGCTAACCTGGTGTCGTGTGGGGGGGGAGCAGGCCGTGTAACACACGCAAGCGGGGTGTTTTTAGCTCTGTCCGCCCCTGCGACCACTCCTGTATTAGACGGATGAACCGCTCAGACAGTGGACTGTTGCCTGTGATAGGTGGAGAGAGGCCGACTCTGTAAACTTCGTCTCCACTGCACTCAGCGCATATTGGCCATCATGACTCGACGAGCTTTCAAACTGTCGCGGTGCGATAGAAGTCATGGCTTGGAAGGCTGCCAACTAGATCCTACT